GGATCTTTCCATTGATTTTTATTCGTATCAAATATCAACGTGTCAATTTTCTTGGGTTACATAAACCGTGTTTGGCGCCATAGTTTAGCGCCGAAACCCTACCAGGGTCTTCAGATTAGGGAAGCAAATGATTGGCGCGCAGTTTATGTTGGAACTGGAAATTGTTGTTACATTAAAAATTCATACAAGAATATTATTAGGCACTGAGATCTGCCTTGACCGAATATGGGTCTCTTTAATCATTCGTATTAAATTAGGGTAAGTTTATTGCATTTGAAACGAGATTTGAACGGAAATAAATTCGGATGTTAAAATTTCCTTCCTTTTGATTTGTAGTTTTGATTTTATTCGATTTTTCGCTTCAAGACAGTGCATTTCTTTTTTGTATAGGAGAAGAGGTAGGACCCTATGGCTTGCCTATCATTATTAGATATTCCCTTCATCTCATCGCACGTGCGCGCTGATCGAATTATGCTTTTTATCGAGATGAGCGTTTAGCAAATCTATCGATATTTCCGATCGCGAAGTAATCGAGTTTAATTGGAGACTAATTTTCAGTAGTCATTCGAGTCGAGAGAAAGCGAGAGAGAGAGAGAAGAGGGGGGGAGGGGGGGCCTCCCCTGATAGCGATAAAGCAACGCACACTTTAATTATCGTACTGTCAGATTCGCTGTGCGTCCTACACGGAAATTGTATTAAGCTATTTCATCGAGACGTCATAATACCGCATAATCGAGTTATATGTCTTTATGCCCTGCGCAATACTGTTCGCGATAATTGAAAAACCACAGGGCGCGATATTAATCCGTCGAATTGACGTACCAATTCGGCCTACGCAAGCCTGAAAAAACGTGTCGGAAAAGTCGCGCACGTTTTCCGTCGATTGCCCTACGACTTCATCTCGAATCTATCTATCCTCACATTTGCGAATTAAACGCGTGGGCGGAGCAAACCGCGATTTTGCAAAAGAATCGACCGCGCGTTTCTCGCAAATTGGAAAACAAGAAGCAGAAACGTTTCCGTCGAATATAGAGCTTCGTCGATAGTACGCCGATCTCGGGCGATTTAATCCGACACCGTTGTGACAGAAGAGGGGGGGAAAGAAGGCGAAAAGGGAGGGCGAAAGAGTTGCTCGTCACGACGAGATTCCGCAAATTATACTGTTTAAGGAACGAGGGCGCGACCGGACCTTGCGCAACGAATACAAATGGAGAGCCAGCCGGCAGCCGCGTCCCTTCGGCGCGCGTGACAAAATTCGTAAAGGAGCCAAGTTCTCGAAGCCAACCAGCCTCCGTCACCCTCTTCCTCTCGTCCGCGCCGTAGGGAGTATATACTCGCGGGGGATTTCACTGGCACACGGGAGAGAAAAAGAGAACCGTTTTGGCGACAACGTGATAATATTTCTGAACTTGGGGAGGGACTCGTTCTCGCTGGTGAAGAAAAAAAAAAAAAAATTCGTCGGCCCCCCGGTATCTCGAAAGAGAGACCGAGAGAGCCGCCGGTCTACACCGAAACAGGTTTCGTAAGTGCCGCTTCGGCAATAAAAAGTGACGGCGAGGGAGAAAACGAGGGAGACAGAGAGAAAGAGGCACGTAACGCGACCGCATTCACGACGAGCGCATTTACATGTTACGTAAAATTTCGTTGGGACCCGCGATACACGACACGCCGCAACGGACGGCGATCTCTCGCGCTACGCTCGCCTCCCGGTCCATTCGCATCTCAATGAAAGTCCAGATGACTTTTGCCACGGGAGATCGTAGGGAAATTTCTCCCTCTCTCTCTCTCTGTGTAGCGTTCATCTCGCGAGCTTTTGAATATGTACGAATTTAGAACAAGGTAGATAAACAGATTTAATCAAAACTTCAGCGGGTAACGTAAGACACATGACAAAATCGACGACAATATTTATTTCAGTGAAAGTCGTGTAGAAAAGGCAGAAGGATATTCGTTTATTTGCGTACAAAAGTTGGAAGAGTAGCAATAATTTCTAACCGGTTGAGTTATTGCCTGAGGAAGGATTAAATCATAAAAAGCTCGAATAAGTGTTTTAAAACAAATTTATTTGCAGTCATTTGTCAGATGTGCTGGTTGTTATCAATACACTCTTATTATCCATCGATCGTATGACATTTAATTTTTTCTTTATATGCCTGTTTCTACAAATGTAGATTTAACTTAAATCTCGTTCAATTCATTCTTCATCTTTTTCTAATTTTTAGATCTAGAACTGAGATTAAAATTAAACCACATTGGCAGAAACGGATATCAGTGACTTCAATCATTCGTTGAAACTTCAAAACTTTCATTGCTTTAAAGATATTTTGTGCAACGCATTCGCACATCGTACGTATTATCGAAACGTCTGTTTTTATAGACACGGTAGGGACACGGTACTAGGACGGCAATGTAAAACGTCCGATTTATCATGCGTTCGATAGCTTGTTTTAATGTATCGCAGCGACGGAAACGTTGCAAATAGTGGCGAACTAAAAAAAAAAAGGCGGAGCTTTTACTCCAATTTTCAAGGATGATAGATCGTCGGCCGTATTTCAAAATTGGAGCGGAACGAACGTATAACGCTCTCTCGGGCTCGTCGCGCCGGTTATCGCGCGCGCGCGCTCCTTCTTTTTTATCCGCACGACATTACCGTGCCGCGACGTTATTTCTGTCTTCGCGACTGACTCATCGACGTCTCGGAAAGAAATGACCCTTGGTCGCGATACCGTCGGCTTTGCATGCTTATCAGTCCGCTCGGCGCAAAGGCGACGCTATCGGGAAAGAATGTTCCCGTACAGTCGCAGGCCAAGTCTCAAGTTCGTCGGCGGAACCTTCATTCGCGCCTTCGAAGCCACTTATTCCGGATATGTCGTAAATCAGATTTTAAGACGTTATCAAATTTGCATAATACACGGATCAGGATGCTCTTGAACAAGATTCAGGCGCCTCGCCGCTTTCCAAGTTAAATATGGCTAGCGTGTGTCGAATCTCTCGGAAAGTCTGTTAGGTCTCGAGAATATGTTATTCGCGTGAATTCAATCAGATAATTTGATGCGATATGCCTGGGCCTTGATTAGGAGTCTTTATCTTAATATTCCTGAGAAGTAGCCTCTCTTCTCTTCTAGCGTATGAAAAAGAAATTGGAATTTAAAATTCAACATTTCGTGTCATAACAGGAATAATAATGCGATAAAACCGACGAGCAACAGTAACCAGTGCGATGACATTCGATCCTCGCGCACTTTTCTGTTTTTCTTGCCGTTTATAACCGTTCGCACGACTTCTTCTACTTAAAGCCACTTGAGGCTACCATTTATAAAGTCTGGCAAGTTCCTCCCGCAGCACATCGTGTGAATCTACCGCGTGGTTTTCTCTCTTTTTCCTCTTATCCCATTCATAAAGCAGGAGATATTGAAAAAGAAATGGCAAGAACAATTTCGCTTTTGCTGGCGGGGAACAAAAAAAAAAGGAGGAGAAGAGAGAAAGAGATTCTCTCTCGCTGGAGGAAGAATTCACCTGCTGATCTAAGTCACCATTTGTATTGTCCGCGTATATTGCGGGCACATATGGCTCATAAAATCGTATCGCGTCCAGCCGTTTCCATTCGAAGATATTTCTGTGCGCGCACGCGGATAAAAACAAATATGAATGGCAGCGATACCGGCGGCAACGTTATACGCCATCCACGACCGCGTCGTTTAAAAGGTTAATGTCGATATTCCAACGAATGTAAATAAACATTTTTAGCGACACTCTGCGAACTGAGTCTATCATTCTGGCGATCGTAGGAAAAGATCAGGAATTACGAGAGAGGGCGATCGTTACAGAACCGTCGACACACTTTTATGTTCCCTTTTCTCTTTTCTCCCCTTTTGGAATGCACTCTTTTCACCATTTCATTAAAATTGTTTAATTAAAGACGTCCAAGAAGTAGTTTGTCTCCACTTCGATGTTCGATGATAGGAAAAGAGCGGCATCCACACGAGAAATAACATTGCCTTTCGTTGTTTGTTATCTTTCCATTTTATCATTTCGCAACAAGAATCTTACCTAGAAATGCAACGCGAAACGGACGTACTAAATTATACCGTCAGGTGGAGTTAACACGAAGATTCGTGTATAAGAAACCCTCAAGGTCGCTTCTTTGAACGGATGGATTTTACGGGTTTTAGTGTTCAGCAAATAACATTTGCCGCTTAGTTTGGTATACGAATATGGTTTGCCGTTTAGTGGCTGATGTATTGATGCAAAAGCCAGCCGTGTTTGGACAGCATCTACTCGGTGGAAAAAGCGAAATGGGTTTACCGGTTATATGCTGTTTTGACCGCAAAAACCGACCAGTTTCTACAACAATTGAAGCAACTGGTCGCAAAATCGCCTTTATTATTCAGCTCTCTAGCGAAAAGCGAAATGTTGAGCATCTTTTTTTCGGCAATTTTAGCTTCTCGGCTCTTCAATTCTGCAATTTGCGTTCAAGGTAAACGACTCGGAAAGTCCAGTATCTAAATTTTACTGTCTCCGAAAATGGGAGGTTCTTTAGAAATTCTTTAGAAATATTAAGCAGTCTGTACACACACACACACATATATATATATATAAATGTAAAAATTAAAAAACAATCAACTTGAAGTGCATTCGCATTTGTTATACTTGTAATTACCTCAATGTCCGAAATTTCTCAAGAGCTTATTTCAAAAGCCTCCGTAAACGTAAATGATGTAGAGAACAAAAAGTAACTCGACACACCTATAGTTAATACAGTGGCTCAGGAAGAGACCCTACAACTTGGTTCTTTACGAGAAAGTCTTGGACGGTCTCGTTCGTAAAGTTAACAACTTGGATGCAGGTATAGTGTGTTTGTGGAACGGCCATCTCTCACGCGTATAGCCGTGCTCGGCAAAGCGGGCTCTCTCGGCTCCGAAGGTCGAACACTTTCGAGCGTCGAGCACGGATTCCCGGCATCAGTGCTCGAAAAGAACGGCAGAGAGGCGGATACTTACATCTTGTAGTGGTGCTGCATGTGGTGACCGACTAGGTGCATGTCGGTGGCGTGCTGCTGTTGCTGCATCTGCTGGTGCTGCTGCTGCTGTTGCTGCTGCGGCTGGTGCATAGGCTGATGATGGTGAGTCTGCGGGGGGTCCAGGCTGGATGCACCCAGCAGGGTAGCGCTCTCCCTGAACAACGTTGCCACCTGCATCCTGGCTGTGTCGTTCGCGTTCTTGGTTTCACCGGAAGTGATCCGCCGTCGGCCGGCGTCGCGATGTCGCTCGCGTTATTCCTTCTGTATCCGGATCTTTACGCTTCTTCACCGTCGCCAAAAGAGTCGCAAGAACGGCTTGCTCTGGGATAGAAACGGATCTAGGTAATCCCTGCGTAACGTGAATACGGTTTCTTCGTGACGATGAAAGTCTACCGTACGTCCCCACGCGTTCGTTCCACGGCGCTCGGGATCGATACCGGCTCCGAGATCCTTCGAAGGTGATTATTAGGATCGCGGGTAGTTCCGAGAAAGGTTCTTCGGATCGCGTGATTGCGGAATAATTGTGGATCTTTTGCGAATCTTTCGATTACCACGACCGTGAGGGTGCTCGTAAATAATATCCCTTACTGCGTGTCTTTTAATTTCTAGAATCGTGAATAATCACAGGATGTGCGATGTCCAGTCTGTAGTGACAGCGGTTGAAGAATAAAATTATCAATTACTCCGATACGACTATCGTTCGTTTCGCTACCGAATCCCCCGACAAAACAATGGCTTGCAGAGAACGTGCCGTCGGCACTTGAAAAGCGCGGCTTTTCGCGTTCCTTGCTTCACGAACACCTGATTCGGAATAACACCTGATTAACGATCGCGGTATACACGCCGCGCGGCCAGCGGCACGACGACGCTCGTCGACGGCCACCGTCGCGG